ATAAGAGAATTTTTCTCATAATAACCGGTGAGTGTCGGGTCGAACTCAGGGCATTGGTGCAAGGGAAAATTTGAATATAAATAAGTGCGAACATACTAATCAAGTTGAATCAAGTACGATCTACACTATTGATTTTAATTAAGATTTGAGTTAATGCGTGTGAGGTAAAGAATAAAATGACTTGTGCGTTATACTATTATTATTTCGTACGGAAGGAGAAGATATACCCGTTGGATGGGTGTATATTGATGCGTTATATGTATATACTTCATGCGTGAGAGTGTTTGTGTGCTAGTGGACACAAGGAATATCTGCTCGTTTATGTACTTTGCGATTTAGAGATTATTTGATCTATAGGTTATTTGGAGAGCTACACTAGCCATTAATTATTGTGGCAATGCTCTATTTCTAGACACATCTTTCATTTGACCTGCGAGTTGTTCTCTTTGACACTCGCAACAGATGAATCAATTAATTAGTTTGCCGCCTACCTTTTTTATGATATTTCTAAATCAAATTACATGTGAGGTGCTGCTTTCACAAGCACCTTGGGTATACCTAGCAGTATGATTTTCATTCGGATTCATCTAACTAGATTAAGTTAAGTGACTTATATGCGTTTTCAATCTCTATTTCTAAAGTAGTAGGTGTGCGGATATTTCAATTTTATGTCAACCAGCTATGAAGGTGCGATGAAAAAATCTGATATTTTGTTTCTAAAGTATTGATAGAATGTGAACAGCACGAGTAGCTAAGAATTAACTTGCAAATTAACTACAAATTGAATGCACGTTACACTAAAAAATCTTGTAAATTTATCTAAGTGCAGAATTTAAATGGAATGGGTGGTGAGCACGTAACTCCTGTCACGAGTAGTGTCAGCCACCCGCATCTAGCATCCCGAGCTCCTTATAGCTTGATCTCTCTTCCAACACAGCGTGTATCTATTTATAGACGCCGACCAAGCTGCTCTTCCAACGCAGTGAATTTCTTATATTTTAAAATCTCTCTCTACGAGCTCCGATTTAGATCCTATTTCTAGGTGTCGGTCAAACTTCTAGAAGGTGACATATGCCATTGACAGTTGGCGAATTGATACTCAACCATCCAATCCTGAAGATGCTAAATTGTAATTAATGGCCTAAATGGCTTTTGACACATATTATGACTAGGAGCTGGTCTTGGTTTTTCCTTTTTATGCATCTCGCGACGCGGCTTCTAACTTAGCACGTGGCTTTGAATTGCTTCACACGCATCTTCTTATTGACTCTGGAAATTTCACTTATTTCGCAGCTAAAATATTCTAAACTTACCACAGCACATCAATTTGCACAAGAAAGACTCAACATATGTTTACCAGAAAATTTTAGCACAAGTTATAACAATTTCAGTTAAGAATTGCAAGAAATGCTTATAGGAAAACATGTCCAAAATTGGTGTTATCAGGACTGAACAAGCCCCAAAGAAAATTTTCATAAGTGGGCTTTTAGCACTACAAAAAAAAATCATTTTTGTAACAAAACTTTTTTGTCTCTAAATCTATTTTTTCCGTTACTAATGACATTAGAGATGGAATTAGGAATGGAATTACGTTAGCTACGTGAACTTTAGGGACGGAATTCCGTTACAAATATATTATTTTTTTGTAGTGTAGAAACCAATTAGCAATGAGAGATGGTAGTTCTGATTCAAAAGTATGTTGATTGCCTAGCTTGGGATTATTCGGAAATGTTTGATCTGGATACAAGTCTGATCGAGCATTGTCTACCCATCAAGGCAGAACTCAAGCCTTACAAGAAAGCACCGAGACGTGTTAATCCTAAAATATGCCAAAATTAAGAAAGAAATTGAGAAACTTTTTAAGGTAAGCTTTATTCAACCTTGCAAGTATGTCGAATAGTTAGTTAATCTCATCCCAATTATAGAGAAGAATGACAAGATAAGAATTTATATTGATTTTCAAGATCTAAATTTGGCTACCCCAAAAGATGAATATGTCATGCCCATGGCAGACATGTTGATTGATTCGACCGTTTGACACCAAATTTTGAACCTCATGGATGGATATGCTAGGTACAATCATATCTTCCTAGCCGAAGAATACGTCAACAAAATAGCTTCCAGATGCTCGGGAGCACTTGAGATTTATGAGTTGACTGTCATGCCTTTCGGATTAAAGAATGCAATGGCTACTTATCAAAGGTTATGAACGCCATATTCTATGATCTCATCGTCTATTTGATGGAAGTTTACATCGATGATCTGATTGTGAATTCAATTGGTTTTAAGGAACATTTGGCCAACTTGGAGAAGGCATTTGTTCGAATGAGAAAGTATAATCTGAAAATGAACTATACTAAGTGCGCTTTTGGTGTGTCATCCGGTAGTCTTTTGGGATTCTTGGTGCACGAGAGAGACATTGAGATCGATGAAAATAAAGCACGACTAATTTGAATAGTCGGCTACAAAGAACCACCAAGGAAGTTCAAAGTGTCTTAGGAAAAATCATATACTTAAGAAGGTTCATTGTGTATGCAATAGGAAAAATGAAGCCTATTACCAAGTTACTAAAAACAAACTCTCCAAATGTTGTTCGGGGTAGTGAGTAGCAACAAACATTGGATTCGATCAAGTGACCATTGTCCAAACCACCGATTCTAGTCCTACCCCAAAGAGACCGGCCGCCGAAACTCTATTTTGCAAATACGCATGATGTTATCAGCTGCCTATTGGCACATGACTAGGATGATGGTAGAGAAAAGACCATTTACTATCTTAGTAAAACATAGCCAGGGTCATAATTGAATTACACCACAACTGAAAAGATGTATTACTCTTTAGTGTATGCGTGCACAAAGCTAGAGCATTACATTTTTCCTCGAAAAACAGAGGTAATAGTCAAGGTCAATTTGGCTAAATTAATTTTACATCGACCTGACATATAGGGAAGATTAATGAAGTGGATAGTTAAGTTGGCTCCATTCTCATTAACATATAGACTAATCAAGGCGGTTAAAAGGCCAGGAGATGGCCGATTTCTTAGCTGAATTTATAAGGCCAAACCAATAAGAAGATGTTCAGAGACATATGTTGGCACACATCCTTGGCGGTTGTTCTTTGATGGTTTCAGTAATAGAGATCAGTCAGGCGCCGGTGTGGTTTTAGAGGGGTCCGATTCACAACGAATAAAACTTTTCTTACAGTTGGAAGCAATGACGCATAATTCAGTGGAATATGAGGCTTTGATTCTAGGTTTGGAAGCATTGGTTAAGAAGAATATTCAATTTGTGATCATTAAAGGAGATTTGCAGTTGGTGGTCAACCAAGTACTTGTACGATATACATGTAACCCTCGGCATCTGAGGAACTATGTGAGGATGGTTTGACGGTTGTTATCAAAGAATTCTGAGGTAACAATTGAGCATATCCCTAGGACTGAGAACCGTCTGGCGGATGACTTAGCCCAAAACACTCACAGATCGGCAGGTGCCGATCTCTCCATGTTAGAAGTCGGTACTTCTGAGGATTAAAGAACAGAGATAGTCGCATATTTGAAAACCGAAGTTGAGTTGTATCAATTGGGGTGCGAATCAAGGCTATCCGATTCAAGCTGACAAGGGAATCCTTTTTACAAAAGGACGCTGGACGACTTCTTGTTGAAGTGTCTCTGACCCAAAGAATTGATGGCGGTTATGGAGGAGGTACATGGTGGTATTTGTGGGGCCTATCGGCAGGTCTATATATGAGGTGGGCCATTCATCGGATATGATACTACTGACCAAAAATATTCGAAGATTGTATTTGATTCGATAAAGGGTGTGATGAATGTAAAAAATATGGACCTCTGAATCACATAACAAGTGTGGAGCTCCAGTTGATGATCAGACTGTGGTTTTTCAAGTCGTGGACCATTGATATAATTGGTAAGATTCATCTTGCTTCTTCTAAACACCATTGTTTTATCTTGATCGTAATAGATTACTTCACTTAGTGGGTAGAAGAAATACTACTAAAAAACGTCACCGAGAAGGAAACTACCAAATTCGTGCTAAACCAGATTATTTATCAATTTGGAATTTCACATTTGATTATCATCGACCAAGGTTTGACATTTAGGAAGTAGAAGTTTGTTGGGTTTTTAGCCAACTTTGGTATCATATTACACCACTCGTCACCCTATTATCCACAAGCAAATGGTCAGGCCGAAACAGTCAAATATATACACAAATACCATAATTTTTTTATGAAAAATTAGAAAATAATTAGTTTCAATAAAATCACACATTATTTGGTAAAATAATCAAATTAAAACAATAAAGTGTTTCATCTTTAGATCATATTGTAGCAAACTTTGTAAACAAAGTTAAAAAAAAAAATGAGGATGGGTAAGAGGCCAACCTTGCATTTTCAAGCCAATTAAGTGTTGTTAAAGATGCTCTTAGGATGTGTTTATTTGGAAAACTTTATGGGTTCTTTTTATTGTGCAGTCACTTTGATTATGTTTCTTTTAGTTCGTTTGAAAAAAATTTGATTTGAATTGGTATTAAAATAATATATGATGAGATATTTTATATAAAAAAAAAAAAAATTCGAAAAATATAGAATTCAAATAATAGAAACCTAAATTTTTTTTTTTTTTATTTATTTTTTTTTTTTACTAATAAACAAACATTCTGTTTCATTAAAATTTGTTGGGAGAGACAGTAGTTGGGCTGGGCCTACAGCGGCACCACATCCTCCTTGCTACATTATTTTTCGAATCTTGATTTATTTAATAAAATGATCCAAAATAAATTGGAATCGTCGTTTTAATTCATATCTAATAATATAAAATATCTTTTTTCCTTCAAACTATTGTATCAAACTTTCAACTCAATCAATATAAAAATAAGTTCCATAAAAATGACTTCTGGCTTAGTGGTGTGAAAATAAATCGGTTACAGATTTTCATATTATAAAAAAAATATATATTTAAATAAAAATAATAATTTTCAACCTCATCGTTACAAATGTATACCCTCGACAAAGCACAACCATACTTCAACTTCAACCCGATGTGGGATGGTTCTCAATATGCATTTGATTGTGGACTTCCTTTCCTGGAAAATTCTTCCTTACAAGAAAGATCACACACATACTGTCATACATTCTAGCTATTACTTACGTTCTTCTGAATTCGTTCTTACAGGTGACATTAGATGAGGAGAAAGATACACACGATAGATAACTGAGTTGAATATATATATATATACATATATATATATATATAATTGAGTTGAAAGGTGTAATTTGGGAGGGAGGGTTAAGCGTAGGTCTCAATGGCAGGCTTCTCAGAATATGCAGAAACTTCTGTCTTCTCCACAGCAGCAGTTGCTGCTTCCCATAGCTCTGGCAATGCCTCCCTCATATTGTGGATGCTCTCTAATGCATAATCTACGCCCTCTGTTCGGTGCCCTGATCCGACCTATACATATATGTGTGTATGTAACAAGCATGCAGATTAGCTTAGCTTAGCTTGTAATCATCTGTAGCCACCACAAATTTTGCTATGATACATATACATGTACACATATATGCATTGATTTATCGGTTCTAGTTGTTAAAAATACTTAGACTTACCCAAACAGTGTGCATTCCCGTATGCTTTGCTGTCTGCAGATTGCGGATTGAATCGTCGAAGAACACCTGCAGAAATTCATGAATTTAAGGTCCTCAACGGATTTTCTTTTCTGTGGTACGTTGGTTGGAATGAAAAATGATCACACTCACAGTTTTGTGGGGGTTAATTCGAGCGATTTTGAAAGCTTGCTCAAATGCTATTTCAAAGGGCTTGCAGCAAATTATAGGACCTGAGTTGTTTTGAAGTTCTGAGAGAGACAGCAGTAGAAACAGAATCAATCATGAATGGAGATTGAAGCTACATGAAAAATGATGCTCTTGTGCTATCACTATGTAACAAACAACCAACTTACCAGCAGCAGCCTCCCTCCTGTCAGGAGGATTCAGCGTCTCGAAACAAATAATGTCTTCGAAACAGTCCTCCAATCCAAGCCTGCTAAGTACTTTAACCACGTGGGATTCATTTCCATTCGAGAAAATCTTCCCACGCATTCACAACTCAAATTTTCAGAAGCCCAAAAGATATATACATATATATATATATAGACTCTTCTAACAGATAGGTAAAAACCAAAAGTGAATGAACTTACAACTTTTCGAAGAGGCAAGCTATGCAGAAGGCTCCTTAAAGTGTCATCAGGGTTCAACAACTCGTAAGGCAATCTTCCATGCACAAAGCTACCAGAAGAACACCAATAAGCACTGGATTACACGCTTGACAACTACGCAGAAATAGCCAAAGCAAAAAAAAAGAAAAGGAAAAGTGAACGCAGGCAGGTTATTTCTTTACTTGTGATAATCATCATAGTCGAAGTCGTATCCAGTGGCCTGAAAAGAATTGAAACTTAAGTCCTATTTTCTCAAATGTTACAAATGTAATTCATGTACACAATCAATGTTTCTACTACAGTTATTCAATTTCTTCCTGTTGAAAGGGATAAGTAAATCGTCATACCAGAAGACCAGCCATGGTAGTTCCATGGTCTCTATAGAGCTGAGCACACAATTCAGGAACCTTCTCTTCATCCATTCCAAGAGTATTGATCATATATTCTACATTAGATTAAATTAGCACATATCCAGTTATAACAAGTTGATCCATGAAAGTTCAGGTGAAGCTAACATTGGTCTTACCAATGATGTTTTTGGTGCATTCTGCTGAAATACCAGAGCTCAAGGGATAAAGTGTATCATCAACATCTGTAAAGTTAGATAGATTTTACTGCACTTCCTAAGATATTCTCATTTTCTCAGTAAATAGGATATTATGAGAAAAGTAAACTCACCAAAGAGAAGGCATTCGAATTTTGGCTCCATCCCGTTGTCGTAGACATCTTCACAATCCATTTTGATATAATAATAATAACAATGGTAATAATAATAATAGGGATAAACCTGAAACTTTAATGTAAAAACAAGGATATTCTCAAATAAGGTCTGAAAAACCACAATGAGTTCAATCAAACGTCATCAAAAAAAAAAAAAAAGAACATCCGACAGGACAGATCGAAATGGTCGAGGGCGAATCGGAACACAGATCAATCAGCATTTAACTCGATAGATCAAAAGCCAATAATCATGCCACAAAGACGCCAATCGCAAACACTACACAACACATACAAACACGAATCAAAACACGAACATGAACAGCCACTGATTGATTCCCTAACACGAAACAAAAACAGTGAAAGAAAATTGAAGACAAAATTATATTGCGACGGCCAAATAAACTATTCTCAATCCGCATTAACTCGATCAATGCCTAAACAAAAGCCAAATTCTCGAAAAGAACACAAGAAAAGCAAAACCTGACTTGGATTCAACCACCAATACAAATGGGGATGGATCGAACGTAAATGGCCAAAGCAGGAGGGAAAAGAGAGCGCTTTCCGAGGCGAAGCGAGACGGAGGTTATAAATAAACCGCTGTAGAAAAACACAAGATAGAAGAAAAGCCGTTAATAATAAATTAATGATAACGCAGCGTGTGGAAGCGCTCGCAAGAAACATTGGAATTTGAAAAAAAAAAAAAAAGACGAAACATTGGAATTTGTTCAATTTAGAAAATTCCACCTAGTGCGTGTTGGTTGTTCTTTGACATTTAATTGTTAGAAATTGTATGCATTTATTCGGGATATTTGTTTAATTTTGATTTAATTCTATTTTATTTTGTTTTATATATATGGTATATTTACAAAAATAATAAAATTGATAAAATTTGAAAAAAAGTAATAATAATAAAAAAAGTTCAATAACTTGAAAAATTGATTAAAAAATCCAAAATTTCAATTGTTATAAAATTATGGCAAAAATAAAAGAAAATATAGGATGGAGGCGCTATACACGGGAGATGGCCATGCAACCGCCCAACTCGGGAGTATCATATACTTAGTGAGATTATAATGTGGTTTGGTAGTACTTTATTCGTTCCATTTAATTTGTCAATTTTTATTATTTACATATATTTCATATAATTTGTCTTTTTTTTAAAAAAAAAAATTATATATTATACACTTTAATCACATTTTAAAATTCATAAGTTATAATTTTTTTAAAAATAAACTATTTAGTCATTTTAATCTTAATTTATAATTATTTTTTTGAATTATAATTATTTTTACTAATACACCTCTTAATTATTTACTAATTACACAATACCTAAAACTCCGTGCCTAAGTTAAATGGAACAAATTAGCTAGGACGGATGGAGTATATTATTTCTTGGTTCCTAAGGGTGTGTTTGTTTTGTGTTTTTGGTTTGGAGAAATACTTTTTACGAGGTATATGAAATTATGTAGATAATATATAAATAATAAATGTGTAATATATTTTTTTTTTTTGAAAAAATGTGTTGAAAAATTTTGTGTAAAAGAACAGACTCTAAATATTTTTGTGATTTTCGATCTTAATGTTTAATAATCTTTGATTAAGTTGGGTATTGTGGTCAAATATTTCAATTAGATTAAAAATTAATAGCTAAATTAAATTAGACGTCTGTAATTGTGTTTTAATTTGATTCAAGTAGCAATTAGAGGAGATGCCACTAAGAAATTACATAGTTAATTTTGAACAAATCCGTATAGATAACTATTAAATTGAATTAAACTCTTCTAGTTCGGAATGTAGTTAGACTAATAAATTTTTTGTGGTGCCACTAGGGTTCTAGTCTAATTAGATAATCAGTTAACGGACGTACCTTCACTTTACTGTTAAATAAGTAAAGAGAAGTTAGTTATTAGAAGCATGTTGGTAGTTATAACTAAAACAAAAATAAAAGGTTTATACAATTTACCCAAGTATTTTTTATTCTATTAAAATTTTGTAATCAATTTGAATATTATTTAAAGGAAAAGGATCGTGCTGATTTTAGTTTATAATTCAACAATCTTGAATTACATCTTAACCATTATTTTTCTATATAACGGTTATAGTTACAAAAGTATAATTTTGTCTCTATTAAATCTCAGTCCAATTCAATTTTTCACTTTCTTCCGTCATTTTTTTCCTGCGAGTTCTCATGTTTTGTTTGCGTTCTCATCGTCGGTTTGAATCTGATTCCGTTCCTGCTAGTATGGTGGATCTCAACTTGAATCTCTAGAGGTTAGGCCCACGGTTTAGAGTTTAAATTAGGTTTTGAATCTCCAAAAGTTGAATCTTGATTAGGTTTTGAATCACTACTTGAAAGATGCTATTATTGTTGTTTTTTGCATTTCTTTTGGGGATTGTGGAAGGAGAATCAAGATAGCTTATAATATGGTTTAACCTGTAACTATTTTGGCCCATTTGTTGTTGGTAGTTTTAATCTTAGAAAGATATGGAAACTAAGTTTGTATAATATTTTTTTAGGGATGAAGTAGAGAGTATACACCTTCTATTTGTGCATTTATCTATGATATACTGTATTCATTTTTCAATTTTGCTTTTCTAAAATATGTCATTTAATTATGACTGTGGTATCTGATTTTGATTTATGTACTCAGATGAGTTGTGTGCATAAAATTTGCATTATCTATATTCTCCCACCAATTTGGGTAGTTTTAGGCAGGGTTTCTTGCATGATTATATGATAAAATATCGACTTGTGTTGTGCTTTTGCTAAAATTGAGTATTTTAAGTTGTTGGAATTTTTCTGATTGGAAAGTTATTGGTAGCCTAGTAAGTTATGTTTTTGTAGTGGGGTTTTCATAATGTTGGGACGGATGTGACGTCTTGATGATTTGATGAATAATTAAGCATAAAAAATGTTAGGTGGTGAGAATATGAAAATATCTTGTCTTATGTTTGTCTTTTAATGCTGATCGTTGAACCTATGTATGTGCATGTACATTGTACTGGATCAACTCAATATATAGTATATCAGTTGAGTGCATGTTTGTGTTGTCAAATGAAAAGTAGATGAATCAGAATTTGTGTTTGAATATGAATATAACTTCGAATGTGATGTGTTATATAAATGTGGTAGTCATATATATTTGGTTATTGGAGATTAGGTGATTAGGTGACCTTTTTTTTCTCCAATGAAAAGAGGCTCTAACCACTTTAGAAACGGTGTTCTCGGTTGCTTGTAATGTAATCTCCTCACTCCATCCAATGTCCGTAGTGTTAACTTGCATATGTGGAAGTGAGTTGCGGACTCATTAGCAGGTATGGCGAGCACACTCTCTGATGTGAGGACTCTCCTTCTGGAGGACATCCCTCAGAGGCCCAAGGGTTTCTTAGAGAATACACAAGCGGACTCCCGAGTTTTAGGTTCCGATAGATTCCTGTTCTTGGTTGATTTTGCTTGTCTTAGTTTTTTGGTTAATATGTCTAGTTTTATGATTTGGGATATAAACTCTATTGTAGCTCTTTAGCCAGAACTACGTATGGCTTGATCCCGATCTTTTGATTGGATACGTAGGCCGTTTGTTTTAGTGCAACTATTTACAAAAAGTTTTTTTTTTTAAAAAAAAAAAGTTGCATATGTGGAAGTCCCACTGAGCTTTATATTTCTCCAGCCAGTCAATACCAAGTATCAAGTTGAACTCATTTAACTTAAGTACTAACAAGTCTTTAGAGGGAACTCTAACTTGTCAACTACAATAAATACATTATGAATTAAAGTATCACAAATAAGATTCTGGCCTAAGGCAAAACTATATCCACTTAAGTAGACTCCAAAATAGATAATCCATATTATGTAAGAGCACATACGTCAGAAGGCTCGCTCTAATCAATCTAGTATATTAGTCAACCAATAAACAAGTAGATATGCTTGCAATGCACCCCGGGCCCCAAAATCAACTTTCATAATGCACGCTATGCACAATTTTAAAAATTGGGTGGGTGCTTTACTAGAAATAATGCTCTAATACCAATAATCTAGATTTTACCTAACTATTGACTTTTGAAGATTTTATGTCCTATCTTTTTTTTTTTTTCAACGTTAAAGCATAACATGCAGGGATTGGATTTAATTGATAAAAAAAAAAAAGGGAGTCAGTTTGCGTTTGGACATCCCATGAACAACCCTCCGGGAGCAGAAACCTTGAACCAACAACAAAAATTCTTACCAAAGCCAACAAGAATCATCTACCAGAGCATATCCTTCGAGACGCTCACTGTTGCATATCCAAGATCAAACCTAACAATGTTATTGAAGGTTAAAAAAAATAGAGTGTGCAGTCTCAATCATATGCAGACAACAAAAAAACTGGTAGACATTCAAATCAACAACTTGCATTCGAATCAATTTGAAGAGCTGTGACAGAATCTTGGCATGTGCTTCTTGTAGTAATGGATGTTGTCTTAGAAGCGCGCAAGTGTATCTATGCAGCAAAAGTGATCATCATCCTGATCAAACGAGTATGTTATGTATTAAAAGTTTGTGTGCATGTTTATGGGAGGTACATGCTTCAATTCATATTTCTAATATTTAGAATTGATCATATTATGGAGGTTTAAGATAGTTCGCTCTATTTTGGAGTAGTTAATCCGTTTAGGCCAGGTGTTTTGAGAAGTCTGTAAGTCCACTCAAATTGTTTGGAAGAGATATTCTAGGTGTTGGCGACATCGATGAGGCGGATGAGGTGTCAGCAATGGACGAAGAAGAGTTCGATAATTCGATGAATTGATATTCCTTATTGGATTGTTGTTACTCAAAGGAGAAGAAGTTTTTGTCGTTTACATCATTTGTTAGTTGTTAGTATTTGTCCTTAGGTATTGAGTGTTTTGGTTACTTTTTGAAACTTGAACTATGGTTAGACTTGGTTTGATTGAGTTGTGCTTGCGGTGAGGGGGAGGGATTCATTCTTGGTCTCGTCATTGCATAGATGATAGTAGTATGCTTCTTGTCTTCCTTCGTGGTTGGGAAACATCAACCGAAAATGGAGAGATTTTTGCTAGTCATTTTCTCGATTATATTTTGGTTGATGTTTGCAGATTGTCTGAACATCAAATGGGCCGCAGAAGGAGATTGGGCCTTCACAATTTGGGCCCAAATGTAATTGAAGGCCATTTAGTTGGTGACCTAGAAACCGTCTCTGAATATGCTGACAGTGGTCTACGCGATGAGGTGTCCATCATATGAAAAATCTCCTTGGGAAAGGAATCTAGTTGGTTACAACAAATTGGAAGTGCTATATGAGCGGATGAGAATCACAATGTTGTTATGGTAATTTGGATAGAAAATATAGGTGTATTATTGAATATTGAGAGTGAGAGTGTTGGTGGATAGGTTGTGAGTAGTGTATGTCTCAAGAGATGGGTTTGACGATTTCTTGAGGAGAGTAGCTCAAATTATATTAGTACACCTTCATGTTTCAATGTTTTCGATAGTGGATTACGCCTATGTTGGAACCCCCTAGATGTAGGCTGGTGAAGCCGAACTAGATTATCATTTTGTTGTATTTATATTGTTCTTCATCACCAGTATGTGTATTCATAGTCCGATTGTCCAAAGAACAACTAGTCTGTGCTAAGAGATTTTTCTGTGTTAATTTTCGAAGTTTACTGTTGTGTGAGTTGATCGAGATTTGGAGCCAACAAATTGGGTGCCAATATCTGCGAACATAGTAATATATCGAACAACGTTGTAAACCAAATAGATCCTCAATTATTTCTCATGCATACTGATGAATATATATGTTTATCAGTACTAAACTATACATATGGTTGATTGCTATTAATTTAGTGATCTTGAATTATTTTTGTATTTCAGCAGTATTTTGGTTATTATTTATATTAATTTAGTGATCTTGAATTATATGTATTTCAAATCACAGTTGTCATCCCAAAAGCATGATAAACTTGATTGGAACCTTCCTCGTTCTCCCAAGCCCCACAACAATAAGTAAGAGATAAAAAAAACAAATCTCAACAGAATTCTTCTCCAGCGTTGAACCATTTTTAGCGGACTGTCTCTTTAAACTTCCAACTTTTGTTGTATTGCATTATTCAGTTTGAAGTGTATTGAATATTAAGTTCTCTATATGCAATTGTGTTCAGTTTTGACACCACATTGATTAATTAACATTCTTTCCAACTCATGATGCATTGTGTCTTCAAACTACTAAATAAAGTAGCAGTGCAAAGCTGTTTGTGTTTTTGGATATTTTGGTTTATTATTATTATTATTATTATGTGAAAATATACCCTAGCTGTTTTTTAAGCATTGTTTGAATAAATTTTGAATTGAATTTAATAGTGCAAGTCAGTTATACTTATTATAATACATTGTATCGACGTGGGCATTACTCGACGTTTGGGTGGATGCCTTTATATCCACATCCTACACCGCCTCTTTTGTGTATGCGCGGGTGCTCCTGTAAAAAATATCAATTCAATTATCTTCTTTCTCAAGTCTCATATTCCACTAATTTAATGCATTAAATCATTTCACTTCGTACACACATACATGCACAATCATACATAACATATGTATATATTATACATGGGCCCTGTTTGTTAGTGTTTTCAACACAATTTTATGAACATATATATATATTCTCATTATACGTCGAATATATATAAAGTTACTTATAAAGCTTATTCTTCAGTACGAGTACATTTAATCAATTCAGAAATATTTAACTTAGTAAAATGAAAGAACACATATCATCATTGGGGATATGTGACTTAAAGTTAAAGGTTACTGGACACCCAATCGCGAAATTTTACAAATCGAAGTATATTAATTACTTATGCGGCTATATATTTTCTTCTAGTACATCTGCTCACGTGATCCGAGTGTACAAGTTATGAACATGGGTATATATTAGAAAATTTGAAATACATAATATGTATACAAATTAAGTATCCCAATTTGACAACTATTGCTACAAATCTCAGGTATTCCCATCAACCGATGCCAAGATATCGTCATTTTTAGACAATCAAATAAATATCCAAACGTGGTGAGTTGCATAACTTTCAATTATTTCTCGTTCATCCCAACTTCTAATTTAGCCCTTTTTGTATAGAATAAAGGTAAAACAAATATGAAGGTAAGCCCTTTGTATTCTTTCTCGGGCCTACCATCATTTAAAACAAAGAAATGTTTTCATGAGTATACTCAACACCGATTCAAATTTATGACATAACTGGGAAGCTAAGTAATATTCTTAAAGAGGTATGTAAATTAAAATTCATGGTACACCAGAGGCAATTGAAGGTATTCACAAACAATATAAAAACAACGAACAAATTTTTTATTAATCGACAAAATAGATTCATCTACAACTAACACCATGATAGAGACATAGTCAAACACTTTCGATACTTAAAAAATCACTGTGCAAGAAAAAAATTATGCATATAGTATTTGAAGAAAATAAGGAACTCCGCTCACCTTACACCCCAATTATTTTACTACAAATGTAAACCTATAAAAATGCAAATGAAGGTACTTATATACTCAATAAGATCATTACAATTTTAAAAATATCAAAATAATTCATATTAGACCCGATGGTGTAATACGATGAAAAAATAAAATGTCCCAGCATGAAGACTTATACAAACTCAACTAAGGCACAAAAAGTATAGATTCAAGCACACGACAAACTCCAAATTCCAAAATTAAAATATTGATTTTTCTAAAAATATAAAATTTGACTTAATATTTTTAACTCCGTTTCTGGGAGACCTTTTCGACATTTCGAGCAGAATTTGAGGTTTTGGCGGCAAGTAATACTTCCAGCGGCGGTAAAGATTTTTGCAGAAGGATTCGACAGAGATGATGTCTGCGGAGTGCTTCGGTAGTAACGGACTAAGTGGAAAGAGAAAGGGTTAAAAGAAATTAACTCAGTAACAATATAAGATCGTGAGTTTTATCTAGGTTTTGCTTATATTTCCGTAATTGATTTCAGCATATAAATAAAAATTTCAATCACATTACTTTGAAATTTTATTTGTACATCGGAATAACTTCGGAGTACGTAAATAAATATTGTAGGTTTATATAAAATTAACGGAAGTTCATAAAATATTTGTTACATTATTTTGTAATTTTAAGGGCAAAATGGGTAGTGGTGAGTCAAATGTAAATAAAAGTGAAAAGTAGAGAATGCAGTATTTTGTTATAATGCAGAGTGATTGAATCTAATCTCTTTTATCTCAGATGGATTTTAATCCAAGTTGCCCTTTGTATATTGGGAATTTGATTTTATATATTTAATTTAAAGTTTGAGAATTTGATTTTATATATTTAATTTAAAGTTTGGTGGCCTAATCAATCATCGTAAACTAAACTCAAAATCGATTCGACTCCTACGTACAAAAGACTTTAATAAATATCTATCAATTGTACTGTCAGCATTGGATTTTGTGTATTAGTATTTTGGTTGATGTTTGCAGATAGTCCAAACCACGTGATCAAACTGATTGAATTTGTGAATCTATGATCAAAATAATAATAATAAAAAAAAAGGGTCAATTACGAAATACTGATTATTTAGGCCAATATTTGGTATGCTTGGTCCACTCCATGGAAGGAATGAAATCGGTTGTAACAATCAAGTATGGGTGCGCAGGCGAGTGAAAATAGATTCGTTGGGGAATATAGTTTGCTAGATCATCTTGTTGAGAGATTTTTTGAATGATTAGCTGAGTGTGAATAAATGATTTAAGGGAGAGAGTGTGTTCATGGCTCATCGAAAACCTAGATAACGTAGCTTAACAACTTTTTGAGGGAGATGGAACACAACCCTCACGTAAGCTCAAGTTGTTGTTCACGATTTAGTAAAATATATCTTGGGTGAACCCTCCAGAGATGTAAATCATTGGCGACCGAACTGGATTTGATCATTGCACGACTGTCTACAGCTGAATCTTTCTAAGTAAATATATTTGTGCATGTGTTGGTGCAGTTTAATTATCTCTATTTAAATGCCGACATGTACCACTATTCAAAAGAAAGAACACACAGTCGAGTCGGATAGATGATAGTATTATTGAGAAGTAGGTTGCCAATAAGATATGGCATGAATAACACGCCCTTTCCATCCCTGAAGCATCCATTTTCCATCTTCTTCATCCACAGAGAAGTCCTTATGGTACTCATTCTTAACCTTCCTCCTAACAAATTTCACGAGCTCCTGGTCCAGCGGCAGCTGCCGGAACCCCGCCCTCACGCTCCTCGCCTGCCACTGCTTGTACGTCTCCGGCCGCTCCACCCTCTCCGTCCCTTCACAGGCGATTATGTTCATCACCTCCTTCCCGAACACGTGCTCCTCGAACAGCGCCCTGTTGCCGTCCTCCCTTCCCACAGTCGCTTCGTACATGTCGAACAGGGACGAGTAGTGGAACATCGCCTCCCTGAACCTTGTGATGAAGAAGGGCGTGTTGAACGTCCCATTCACCACTCCGTGGATGAACATGTCGGGATTTATCTCCTTGATCAGCCGCAACACCGCGTCTCTCGGGCTGTCCGCCATCACCGTCTCGTCCGGCACGTTGTGTAGCCTGTATAGACAGTTCACCACCACCACCTCGCCCTCCTTGATCATCAGCTCCTCCGGCTTGATGGTCTCCCATTTCTTTGCTATGGCTATGAACTCGAATGGCACTCTGAACCTCTTGCAGTAGTTCTCCAGGCGCCGCCCCGTGGCCTTGACTCTCTCTGCTGGACGGAACCCCGGCTGAGGAAAGTCTATCCCGGTTATCCGAAGCTTTGGGGGGCCGCCGGGCCTCTCGGACAGGGCGTGAATCAGACACGGCCACTGGTAGCCGTAAAGGATGCCGAAATCGATAATGTGCAGAGTCTCGGCATTGGCGGCCAGTTTTCTGATGGTCTTGTTGGCCAGCACATTGGACATCTTCTTGAAGGGGCTAGCAGTGATGTACGTCTTGTAGGCTTTGAGAATCTCGGCGGCGGAGATTCGAACGGCGACGGCGTTAATGGCGGCGTACGAGGCCGTTCCGGCGCCGGCAAGACGGGCATCGATGGCGTTGACCAAGTAGTGGGCGAGCCTCTCCATAGCATCGCCGTGGGGCGAGGAATGCTCCCGGATTCGGACAAGGAAGTCGGCCACGGAGCGGGTGTCGAAACTCGCCACGCCTTGCGCACATTGCATCAGTAGGCTGCTCAAATCGACTTTAATGGCTTCGGCTTGGGATTTCTTCCGGCCTCTCTGCAGCTTTCCCCTGTTGGTGTTGTTTCTCCGGACCGGGTCCGAGTCGGAGCACAGGAGGACCTTATCGTACATTTCGAATGGCACGGATTCGTCGGCGCTGCCCGCCAACTGCTTGCTGCTCCGGCGGTCTTCGGCGTCTTCCCGGCGGCGATTTTTCTTCTCCCGGACGGGGGGGAGGCTGATTTGGGAAGATTGGTCGTCGGCGTCGGCTGTGAAATGATCGGTAGGGCTTTGGGCGTTGAGGAGGAGGTCGTACAAGGATTTCTGCGTGGCCTGGAGGGCCAGGCAGTCGTGGAGCATACAGGGCTGGTTCTCAAGGTCCTCTTCTTCCATGAGCATCTGGGTTATGAATCTGAGGATAGCATCTGAGTGGTCCACTTCCTTCACACCCACGCCAGGAATTTCCCCTAATTCCGACGACCATGATGGCTGATTCTGATTCTGATTCAGATTCGAGGAGGAGGAGGAATAAGTATACGCTGGCTCTACTACTAAAGTAGTACTGTTCATCATCCTTGAAATGGAAATGATTCCTAGCTCAATTAACTATTTATTCACATAAGAACCAGAAATCAACCTTATTCTAAACAATTCCAAGAATCTGATAACACAATTAAAAAAGAAACGGTTTCCCCAAAATCTGACAGATGATTTGATCTGGTCTGATCTGAATGAGAGCGAGCGAGAAGAATCAACTGCTGCTGCTTCTGATTGACGGACGACTTTTATAAGGGCTGACACTAGATCGGATTGAAGCCTGAAGGTAGAAAGACAAACAGACAGACAGACATAAAGGAACCAAGGAAGGAGGAAGGTTCGTCGAAGAGGAGGTAGGTGACTTTATCCGGAGAGGGTCAGCCGTCGCCACTATAAAAGTCTTTCAAATCATGACTTTCTGGGCTCCTCGCTTATTTCTGCCTACACGACAAGAGCAATCGCAATACTTTTTCTTTAAAAAGTATTTTCTCATTTTTTTTTAAACCTTTTTTTCTTATTTTTTTTTTCACAACATAACTTCTTTTTTCTCTATTTTTTTTTTTTATATTAATATCAATATTTTTTTATTTTTAAAATTAAATACAAATATATTAATATTTATATTATTAAGAGCAGCCGCAGGGAGCACATCTCCAAAGTGGAGCCGGGCGATTTTATTTTAAAGAAAAAATAAGAGATATTTTTTCTTAGGCATTTCCATAGATGTTTGGAAAATAATTTATTTTAAGATTTTGATTTTAGATTTTGATTTTGAATAATAAAATTTTGAATTGAAATAATTATTGATGTGATATAAATATATATTGATTTGATATTTTGAATGTAAAATAAAATTTTGGTATAATATAACAGATAAATAATTGATTTTTGATTTGATATTTTTTAAAAGAAAAAAATTTTGAAATAATAAAATTAAGGTAAAAAATATTTTGTTTACTTGTAAGATTTTACTAATAATTTTACTATTCAACTTTTTTTTTCCTCAAAAAATATTAAATCAAACATTCAATTTTTATTTATGTTATTACACTAAAATCTAATTTTACATCAAAATATCACATTAATACATATTTATATCATATCAAACAACTATTTCAATTCAAAATTCTATTATTCAAAATCAAAATTTAAAAACAAAACCTCACCACTAAACACACCCATGTTTGCCAAAAAGGGGACACATAGCATATATATATATATATATATTAGATTATATATATATATAAATTATTTTATTAATTTATATTAAATATATTATTATAGTTTAAATTTATAATATTTTTATAATATATAAAATTTTTTATTCTATATAAAATGATATTATATTGAATATATTTTATTAATTTAAATTTTAAATATATAAATACAAATATTATTTAATTTTATTAAATAAAATAATATTAATAAAATAAAATAATTTATTAAATAAAATATAATTATAAATTTTAACACAATTAAATAATATAAAATTATATTAAAAAATAAAATATATTTGATATAAATAAATAAGTTAAATAATGAATAATACAACTTTCTATTTTCATACATTTTTAATAAATCAAAATAATGACAAATAATAAAAATATTACAATTAATTAATTATAAATTAAAAAATAATATTCCCTTCGTCCAAATACAATAGTCTTGTTTACCATTTTTGTCCGTCCTAAAACAATAGTCTTATTTCCATAAATAACAATACAACCATAAAACTACCCCAACTTTTTTATTTTTATTACACAATTGCCACTACATTTTACACTAATACACTCACAAGGGCAAAAAAAAAAAATTTATCTATACTTTTTATCAACTACCAATATAACATTAATATTTTTAAATCTCGTGTTCAGCTCAATTAAGACTATGGTTCTGCGACGGAAGGAGTATATATATATATACACATAGATATAACATAATAAGAAAAAGTAATGAAAATTTAATGTGAGTATCTTTGTTGTGAGTATTAAATAAAATATGTATCTTTAATATTATGGCCGATGGATAATGAGGTTGACAATAAAAAGTAGTAGAGATATCCAAAAGTGGACATCTTTGCGAGGATGGTCTAAGAATGCTCTAAGACTACTATGATATTTATCTTCTAATTTAAATTTAAATTTAAATATATTTTCTTTTAATTTATCAATTTTAAAATATACTTCGTTAGGTATACAGTTATTTAGGTAATATAAATTAGTAAGTTATTAATAATATATTATATTTATTTTATTATTTTATATATGAGTAGTATTATTGATATTTTAAATATTTCTAGCATTGTATTTCAATAAAATAAAATATATGCAATATGCATATCATTTTATAGAGAATAAAATTTTCTATACAAGTAAATAAAAAAATATACTTATTTATTTATAATTAATATAAACTAATTATATATAAAATGTAAAGTTTTAAATATAGATAAAAATATTTATTTATTGTAGAAGAAAAATAAAACATAAAATAATTTTGAGTTGATCATACTAGTAAAAGGTCAAAAATTTAATTAAATTGATATATATTCTTTAAATATGTTTAAAATAAATAAATTTATTAAAAATAGAAATGAATAATCTTTTATGAGATGGACAAAAAAAAAAATATCATCTGTGGCGCGGACACATAAAGTATTTTTTAGTTAAAATTTTTTTATATGTATTTATTATATTTTTAATATAAAATTAAGAAATTGTTATTATTATTATGTTTATAAAAGTTTATGTCCAAATATTTTGTGTTCCTCTCGTCAAATTTTCTCAAATTGTATTATTTGAATAATGTGTTTTTTTTTAAAAAAAATATTTACAAAATATTCCATCAAATATAATTTTAATATAAAATTTAAAATAATTTTTTCAAACTTAACTAAAAGAAACACACATGTATACGAATTAGTAATAATTTTTCAAATATAAATTTTAATTATTTAATTATATTTTTATAACAAAAAATATAAAAATAATAATCTTTTTATTCTATTGAAATATGTCAACCTTTTTGTATTTTCTATCTCATTTAAATATGTCATTTTCTATATAAAAAAAAAGGTAATTAATTTTTAGTAACAAATAAATTTAATTAATTCAAATACATCTATTTAAAGTGTGCTTATTTAGTGTGTTTTTTTTCCCGTAAAAACTAAAGAAATACATTGTTTTAAAAAAAAAAAATTAATATACTATCTCCGTCTGACTCTAAAAGTCCAATTTAATTTTTATATGTTAGATCATTGAATATCATATATATATATATATATTTGACAAAGCACTTCAATTTATGCCGCTTACATAATTTTGGAGTTTTTTTTTATTTTAATATTAATAAGTTTGGATATTTAATTAAAATTTGTTAGAATAACAAATAATTTAACTAAAATCAGATTTATTGAGATAATAAATAACAAAAAAATATATATATATAAATTTAGGTTTGGTACATCTATATATACCTAACAGATTAAGTGCCACAACAAATATTATTATGGAATTTTTATCCAATACTACGAAAAAACGGCAATCTCCGATTCGTTAATCGTCGGATCAATATGAAATTTTCAAGATGCATTTTCAATCGATATGTGAGATTTTTTATTGGTTTTCTGTAGTTTGATCTAAAATTGACAGAACATGACAGACTTTTAAGTTTTTTTTTTTTTAAATTTTATAGTTTTCATTGGTTGATTAAATAGTGATTAAGCGTGTATATGCATTTTAAAAACTCTTATATTTAATTTGATTATAGTGAATTTCTACTTTGGGTTGGAAAATGTGTGATTTTTTTTTTTTTTATTTTTATTTAGAAGAATTTTCTATGTGAAAAATTGTTTTATTCTTTTCATGTTTTGTTTAGGCATATAATTTGTTATAAAATTTTTACTAATCAATTTTTTATTCATACTATGATGCAGAAAAAAAAATATAAAAGAAAGAGAGTAAAAAATAGAAGAGAAAGAAAAGAAGTAGAAAAAAAAAGATCTGATTGTATTTTATTTGTCTTTTTGTTTATTTATTTTATTTTATTTTATTATGTATAATAATAATAATTTAATTTTAATGTTCTTGCTTATCGATTCTTTTCATTCTTATTATGTATATATTTTACTAATTTATTCAGTTTCGAGTATAATATGCTAATACTTTCATTATTATTATCTATATATTTTTTTCTTTATATATGTATTATTTTTTTTTTACTAATAAATTTTTCTATTCATTCTTATTTAATATGCATATTTTAATTGATTTGCTTTTTTAATATTATATTAAAATATTTTTTCCGTTAATTTTGTAGATTATATATTAATTTCAAATATTTTTATTTAAAATAATATTAAAGAAATTCATACAAAAATTAGGGTATAAATTTTAGTAATTTATAAAAATTATGTTTTTATTTTAGTATTTTCATTTATATTTTATATGTATTTTTTTATTATTTTTTGTTATTTTTATTTTTTACTAATCAATTCTTATTTATTTTTATTCTATATGCATATTTTCTAATTTATTTGGTTTCGAATACTATTATTTTAATAGGTTTTTGTTTTCAAAAATTGAAATTATATTCAAATTTTTAGTTTTTTTTTAGTCTAATATGATTGTTAATAAATATTTTTAACCTAACTTAAATTTGAATTTCACTTGAAATATGAATTTTATAATTTATAATTTTCATTATTTAATATTTGCTTTTACTTTTTATATTGTTGTTGATGCGTTTTTCAACAATAAAAAGTAAAATTCGAAAATAGAGAAATATCCCCGAATTTGATAGATGAGTGTCTGAAATTAGAAACCTCTAAACACTGTAGAATACATAAAATAAAATAAGATAAAAATAAAGACTGAAAAATAAAGTGGTGATCCCCAAAAGCAATTTTTTTGAATTTGATGTCGATTGAAGATGCCACTCCATACAATACGGAATCTTTAAATAACCCCTTGAAGATACGGTTCGAACCGCTATCCGGTCGGTTACCATAACCGCTGTTAACTCCCCAAAAAGTTCTCTTCTATCGACACGTATGAGAACCGTCATATCACGTCCGACCTTTGAAAACCGCTCGCCAGTTGAAACTACCTTCCACTATTAGAAACTGCTTTTACCCGACCTACAGGATAACTACTTTTACTACCTAACCTTTGATCTTGGTCCGACTTCAATGTCCAACCTTCTTACGCCCGACTATTGGAATTTTTCCCGACTAGGTCCGACTTCACTATCCGAACTATTTAGTCCCGACCAGGTCCAATCTCATCATCCGTCCGACTTTCTTACATCCGACCCTCGGACTTTGTCCTGACTAGGTCCGACTTTAACGTCCGAACTATTTGGTCCCGACCAGGTCCAATCTTATCATCCGTCCGAC